CGCTCGAATTCAAAGAAGAGCTCGACACCAAGACCAATTCCAGCCGGCGCATTTGCCCGTCCTGTGTCAAGACACTCGGCAATGCCTCGCGACCTCTTATGGCCGAAAAATGCGGTCACGTCATTTGCCGCAATTGCGCTGTGAAGTTTATGACACCGCAAGAAAATGCATGCTATGTGTGCGATGCTAGGCTTCCTGCGGCCCGCCCAGATAGCAAGCACAAGGAACCTAAACAGGAATTTGCCGGGCTGATAGAACTCAGGTCCGAGGGCACTGGGTTCTCTGCTCGGGGAGCAAGCAAAGTTGAGAAAAGCGGCGTCGCTTTCCAATGCTAATGCAGTCGTGCTCATGACCTGCATAGCACGGTTCATGTGAATTGGCAAAGGCACCGTCCAAAAGCTGTTCATCGGCATGACTGTCTTGTATGCTCTGGAAGGCTCTCTCAGAAACAGTCACGCAGCGCCGAACCGTCTTAGCCTCGAAACCACGGGAAAATGAACAGATGTCATTTCATCGAAGTCTGAGGAAAATTCGTCTCAGGTGCTGCAACTTGATATCGCGCGACTGTCTCCGTGACAAGGACACCAATAGAAGACCAAGGCGGATTACGAAGGTGTGAATGACGCCTTTGGATACCATTGTCAGGCCATGGCTGAAGAAGCTCTTGAGCACCTCGCCCTGAAGCCCGGCGTACAAGGCCGTTATTCCGTCAGTTCTGGCAATGGACAAGACAATGGCGAGCACGCTATTATCGAGCGCCTCCTTCGTTTTGGCCAGCGCACCTGGACTAGAAGGCTCCTTGCTGAGGTCCTCAGCACGAGGTCTTTCTTGGGAATCGGTGCTCCTCCGCGGCGAAGCAGTACCACGCATCTGCAGTCTGGCCTTTGCGGTCTGTATGGGGTAACTGATGATGGTCGCAATAGACTTGCTCGCAGCAGCGAGGAGGAATGTAGTGTGCGTGTTGTGCAAGGCTTCGTCCGAGTCCGGGAGTAGAGTCTTTCCCAGCTTTTTGTTGAGGAAGAACGTGATGCTGGGGTTGATGGTCAACAGCAATGATGCGGAATAACCGGCCCAAAGACCAGCCACGCCGTTTTCTGCGCGAATTAACGAGAGAATTTCCCACACCGATGCGTCCCCGCCCTCCTCGTTACTTTCGATCATTGCTGATGTCTGTTTTCTCGCAACCACGTTCGCAATTGGCGTCGTGCAGGCTCTTGCACAGGCGCCCGCCAATGCGCCAACGGCCAACTCGTCCAGGACCGACAGTCGTTTCCCACGCGAGTGCCGGCGCGTGCCTCGAAAGTACTCGTAAAACAGAAAGAAGAGGAACGAGTCCGCGATGGACTTGAAAACGTCCTGGGCGAGACCCGTGTAGAGGGCTGATATGCCGCCTTCTTTCGCCGTGATGGCTCTCATGGCTTGCACCACGCCTTGGTACTGGTCCTTTTCGGAGATCGCATCCTCGCTTCGCAGCTGCCGCTGGACTTTGAGGCGTGTGGTGACAAGGTCGAGGGGATACACTGCAGCTGTCGAGAAGGCAGTTCCAAGGGCGCCTGCGAGGGCGTGGCCCAAGGCATCGAGGACGCCTGCGGGCGCCATGGTCTTGTGGGAGTGCTATACGACTTGAAAGGACAAATCAATTGGATTCAACTATGAGAATAAGAGGTTTTGTAGGAGTAACTAGAGAAGCGTCGATGTAAGAGATACTGTAGGATGGCGCGCTGCAGTAGATCCTTGTTGTTCTCCTCAGCGTGTGTAGCCGATATACAAGTTAGGACGTATAAAATGTAAGTGGTAAGGGGGCGAGATCAACGAGCATGAAGATCGAAGACGACGGCATTTCCTTCTGTCAACCTATGGGGCAGATGTGTGGTACCGAGGTCAGCTCGGCGCCGATAGTGCTTGCGGTCACGGCGAAAATCCGGGGTAAACTAGCCTGACTATAACGACGTCATCATCGCGTGAAAGTGTTATAGCGGCGCTAATCCGCAGACGGCGCAGACGGGGGTAGCTCTGGATGCGCAAACCAACAGACCCACCGGCCATCTCATTTGTATAATCCCAGCTCTATAGGTAAAGTATGAAATACCATGTGCCTCACAACCGACGGTTCGCGACTTTGGGTTCGGATGGCATTTTTACGCCATGGTACACGGGGGGTTTAACTTGATTACTGTTACCCATGCTTTCATGACCTAGAACTAGGAGATCTAGTTTCTTGGACTTGTCATCCTTTGCGTCTTACATCCGAAACGCATCGTTCATATAGAGATAAATATATACACACATGCGCTGCTACTTTTCCGCAAGTAGCAGCGAGAGATCCCTAGTGCACAACCCACCAAACGCCGCTGCTGAAAGAGAACCTAATGGGCAATTTGAGAAACACGGATGAGGGGAAAGAGAGAAGCAACTTCTTTCCAGCTGCGACCACATGGTATACCGCCTAAAATCATAACGCCGCCCGTCCTTTTAGTTAAAAATGCAGGAGACCACCCTCTCCCACGAAGAAAATCCAATGGCGTCTCCGCCTGGCAAGAGTATCAGAAAGTCACAACAGGTGGGCCTCTTTCCTGCAGCCACGCCTGCACTACACTATCCTCTGCTTGTTACAGACGGCCGTCGTTGAGGATGGCTTTGCATGCTGAAGCTGGAAGACCTGCGGGCGCCTCCAAAGTTCACGTCGTCAAGCTCGCCAGGCGCGTCCTCCGTGTCGTTGAGTCCTGGATGACCTTGGGGAAGCCTCTGCGCCCCAAAACCGTTGACTTTAAATATGTTTGTTCTTCCACCGTTCGTCGCCATTTGTAGCTGCTCGTGAAGTCGAGCTAGCTGGTACTGCCTCTTAATTGGAATGAGGACTGGCTGCGGCACCACAGGTTGCGGATTCCAGTGCGCCAGCGCACTCATGACAGCAGCCGTCTCTTCATCCGAGTCAACCGGCCCGGCGTTGGCTTCATCTTCGTCCTCTAGTGGGGCATTGGCGTCGAGAGCAGCCTCTATAATGATATGTTGTCAGTGGCATTGTCTTTAAAACGTGTTCAGGGAGCCACGTACTCTGCTGCTTGGCCTGGTTCTTCTTCTGGTACGCCGCCAGAAGCATGTCGTAGGGAAGAGATCTGCCCGCAACGGCACGTTTTGCGCCCATGCTATGGCTCTTGCACGTAAGAGATCTGGCGCAAGGCTGCCCGTTGGGCAACAGAACACCACACTGGCGTTCGACATCCACGGGACCTGTACATAGTCAGAAACCAGGTGAGAATCCCAATGAGACAACGGTCCATACCTTTTGGCTTGGGGGCCTTCGGCTTCGGTTCTTCCTTCTTCTTTTTCTGCTTAGGCCCTTTCTCCGCGTCTCCGTCTGCTTTGCGCTTCTTGCCCTTGCCGGTATCACCGTCGGTTTTCTTACCTCCCGTCTTCTTTGCAGTTTTGTTGCCGGTAGCCTTTTTGCCGTCGCCGCCGTCTTCATCGCCGTCGCTGTCATCATCGCCTTTGCCATCGGGATCTTCGTCTGCCTTTCTGGCTTCCTCTTCACGTGCAGCTTCCTTGGCGCGCTCGCGGGCCTCTCTCGCCTCCTTTTTCCTCTGGGCCTTCTCCTTCTTCAGCTTGAGACACGCGGCGATGTGGGCCTTGGCGGCTGTTTTAAGGATGCTCTTCTTGCAATGCTTGCATTGTTGTAGGTCGGGTGTGTCCTCCAGCGGCCGGCCAGTCGCAAAGGCTTCGCGCGCGATATCATCGAGGGGATTAACGACGGGTCCGGGAGAAGCGACAGATATCGATGCGGAATCATCCTTCTTTGATTTCTTGTCTTCTGGTGCTCACATCGGTCAGTCTCCAAGCCTCGTATCCGTTACGCGATTCAGTCGACTCACCTTCCACAATGCTTCCTTCCCTCCAATTTCCAGGCTTATTGTACTTGGGAGCGGGTTTCTTGAGCTTAATAGGGCCGTCGGGCTTATTCTTGGGGTCCTTCTTCGATGCGACCTTGATCGTCTGCTCGTCGTCTGTATGCGCAAGTTGTGGTTAGTGTACCGTCAGAGCTGGGCAAGAGTACGAGGATGCGGGCGCATTACTCTTCTTGGAGTCGGAAACGGCGGCCATCGTGTTTGTAGGCTGTTTCGCCTGATGAGGTGGTTCGATGTAGTGATGACGGCGGAGTGCGATACGATCGCGATGGAGGGGTCTCTATGGGTCGTGGTGTGTGTGGCGACGGGCCACTTTGGCGACGGAGACGCGGGATATCAATGTCCGGCGATGAAACTCTGCCCGTGAGCGTCACTTCATGGCAGAAGACTTCAAAAAAAAATTCGAACGTCTCATCGGATAGCAGGCGATATGATGGTTGATGAAATAATTGCGATGCGTCGCGCCCTGGGCCTTATCGTAGCCGTTGAATGTCGTCGTCGGGTCGCCTTTGGTTGGGTGAGGTAGGAGGACGGGGGCTGTCCCAGTGGAGGTCACGCGTGGGAGCCTGGGGCCTCCACATGCAAGAGCTCATAGGCCATCTCCCCAGCATACCGTGCTAACAAACTGTGAGTATCGTAATCCGCACTGCTCAAATATCAGATTCCGGAACAGCGTTCGTCACTTTTAGACGCGCAAATCCTTCTCTGCTCCTCTTAGTTACTATTTGATGAATGTATCGTAGAGGATGCCACTGACAGAATGGATTGGAGATATCTTCAAACGCCTCGGGCCCATAAGGTAGCATTGCAAATTAGTGGCTATGCCGCAACCATCCCACCAGGAACCGTTGCAACTCATCTTGACGCATGGTCTGCCCTCACGAACTTGCCTCGGATATACCTCACGCCAGAACTTCCTTAAACTTGCCGTGCCATTTTTCATGCCGGGAGGAACGAAGCCCTACTCCAAAACCGATGGTATCACCCAGCCATACCTGGCCGCTGCTCCGGACCTTTGCTAAACTTTCAAGACCAAAAAAACATCCTGGTTTCCTCAACTCCGTTACGCCGTTTCCCTTTTCCGTCCCATGGCCCCGTCTACCAATCATCTGCCAATATCCCAGCTGCACCAGTTCTCAGCACCGTGTCTTCATGCGCTCGCATGGCTTCCATCATCGATCGTGCGTGCAACATTCCCATGTCGCCCCAAATTGTTTGGATGATTCCCAACGCCCATTCCCAGTAGTCTTTGGGCACTCCAGGAGCGCAACCCGCCACTTTGAGGTGGAATAGCAATGCCGGTAGTCCTGCTGATCCAGCTCCTCCTCCGCCGGGACTTTCCACTGTTATCTGAGCCGGTCCGTCTAGGGCCGGGTGTCGCCAATGTGTTGGTGCACTAATAAGTATATCCCTCGCCAAATGTCGGATCACGTTCAGAAACTCGTCCCGCGCAGCCGCTGATACCAGCGACAAACTGGACACAGGATTCTTATTGGTCAGATCCAGCAAATTCTGGTTGACCAGAATCCGGCACCATCGGTAGTAATTCCAGATTCGAGCAGTCCAGACGTCGTGGTATTTGTGGTATTCGCACTGGAACACTGCCTTAGGAGGGAGATGGGTGGCGTGAATGGTGCGGTAAATCCAATCTCCTTCCAGTCCATTCTCCCACGAGGCCAAATCTTGATCAAGATCCAGAAGCTGCTGAATAACGCTGGCCGTCTTTGGTTTTCCGTCGCTGATGACATGGTTGTGAATAATTGACGAGGTTTCGACAAATCGAGCGATCAGAACCGCTAGGTCGGTCGACGGTCGGTCTATGGGCAGCTGGAGTTGCGAACCATAAGAAACCCAGTCGTAAAAGTCCGGTGGCATGGGCATGCCAGCAACGTGTAGAGGTATGAACTACAGAAAGCGTCAGTTCTACGAAACAATCCAGACCAGGAGGAGCGGTCTCTACCATTGAGTAGCACAGCTGCAATAAGGCCCTGAAGCCTGCAAAAGGTGCACTGGGCATAGGGCACCAGCTTCTCATCAGCGCAGCTCCGCCCATAACATGGGCATGGACGGTGCTTGTGGAATGATGGGTCCCTTTCACAACCTGTACGAGCAAGAAACCAGGTCAGCCAATACGAACAACAGCAACAGTCAAAGACGCGTAACCATAGTTGCAGCAGAGAGTTGGGGGGCGAACCTCAAACATGGCGAGGGCCACCACGGCCCTCATTGTCACATCTATGCTCGGTGTATGGGGAGGCCGGATCAGCTTCCCGGTATGTCGTAGTGCTGAACCATACTTCTCTCGCGCAGTCGACATCATTTTGGCATTGCCAGTCAGGTTGTGCAGGCCAGCAAGGCCTACGGCGCACATGACGTCCTGTACTGCTGGATGCCATATCCAACCCTCTGTGTTCAAGTCTTGGCCGTTTTTGGGTTCATCAGGATGCCCTATCAGATACCTGTTGACGTAGAACTGCACGCCCTGTTCCTCGAGGGTAGATCCTATCTGGAGTGTCGGAGGGCTGGACTCGCGGTTGTGTTCTTCCTTGACAGCCGGGAGCGTTGGTGGTGATGAAGAGCCCGCAGAACGGTACGTTGACGAAGGCGAGGCGGAAAAGGATGCCGAACTCGAGGCTGGCGAAGGTACGTTCGCGGCTCCTGATCTTGATGCAGACCTCTTGCTGTTCGGCGAGCCCTTCCGGCTGTAAGAGGGCGAAGAAGCAGGCGGTGACGGAGCTGTCGAGGCCGATGCGCGCTCAGCACCATTCTCAGCACCATCGGTAACTCCCCACTGAGCGTGTGCTTTTTTGATGACCTTGGTGCTTTCATCGCGGAACATGAGCGAAAGTTGGTCTCGATACCCGGGGCATTTCTTGCCCACGCGGATGCATTGTGAACATTCGGGTTTCACTTTATCGCACTATAAGGGGAATTTTGTCAACCACGGTCCCATGTTGGTCAATTTTATCCAGCAACGAAGTTGAGGGGTGAATTGTCCAAACCAGGGCCTTCTTCAGAAGAGCCGCTCTTCGAGGGTTGAGGGGATCAGTACTACACACCTTAATGCGACGGGTTCGGCAGTTTTGACAGCCCTGAGAGGCTTTGCCGCAGTAGACCATTCTTGAGATGGATTCTTGGATAACCTAGACCTGGTAAAACCGCGGGATCAGATAACAGGTTGTGTTGTTGGCTTTAGTTGTTCGGCGAAAGAGATGCAAGCAGGGGATTTGGGCGCCGGAGTACTTGGTCCATCACGAGTCGTTCGAAACACAGCGTGATGCCATCCGAATCCCGCTTCCTCAACCCCGCGGGCAGAGAATCAGGACGGGCGAGATGCTGTAGGAGCTCGACAAGAACGGTCAGTGAACCGGCGTCTTCCAGATGTGCACGACAATCGAGAAATAAAAGGCTGCGAACTGCAGGTGGTAAACGAGGCGAGAGGAAAGGATGGATAGATGGGACTGCGACAAGTCTTCTAGGAAAGAAGGACGGCCGGTACGTCTAGTAGTAAGGGTCTGGGGGGAATTGCTAAGTGGAGGTTTTTTGGAGCTGTCCCAATCTTGTACTAAGTTCGCGCGGAGCACGAGCAGCAGAAGATGAAGGGGAGAACAGACAAGAGGGTCAACACTATCCGTAAGGTAGGTACTACTGAGCCTTTTGAGCCCTACGTATGCGGGATGAAAGGCGTTAGTTGAGTTCAGTGAGAGAGGGGAACGCAGGCGACGCAGGCTTGGAAGCTCCCGTCGCGGATCCAAATGACACTAGGGCCGGGGTGGGACAAAGCAGCTGAATCGTCAATGCTCATGAAGCCTGTAAGGCAGGGCGGATGCAAGGCTTGAGTCTGAGTTCTAGGCTTTTTAGACTGTCTTGTTTTCCGGCTCTGTGACTAGCCCTTCCAGATTGTGATTGACCAGGCTGATAGAGGGTAAGTGGGTTGGATTGATGGCCATAAACAGGAGGGAAATTGAGGCAAGGTACGAGAAGGGCAATGCGAGTGGACAAATGAGAGGAAGGCGAAGGTAGGATGAGATGTACGTTATCAGTGAGGAAGGGAAGTATTGTAAATGTTCGTACACTACTGTGTAGAGACGCGTATCCGTACTGGAACTGTACGGTACCTAGTGCTAGGCCAAGCAAAGCAAAGCAACGCAGACCCAAGTATCCGTACCTTTGGGGGCGAGTTATGCTGCTCCAACAGCAGACCCAACACTTGGGGGGGCCTGGGGGACCTTTCCGCAGACGTCAGAGCTTTGCACTAGCACGCTTGCTGGGCCTGTACGAGGCAAAGGCTGTGCGGCAAGACAACATGAAGCAAGGTGCCTAAGCAAAGTTAATTGATAATCAAACAATGGACGTACGAATAGGTACCTGTCGACTTGTCGATCGGTGGCCGGTGGGAGAGGCTGAGTGAGGAAGGGGGATTGAGACTGGACTCCCCTAGAGTGATGTTGGAGACTTGGAGACCAAACCTTCGCTACTTCGCACACTTCGCACACTTCGCACTTTCAGACGCAGCGTGGCAGCGTGGCAGCGTGGCAGCACCTAGTGTATCCGCCTGTACCAAATAGCTCGGACTTGGTAGGTAGAAAGCTCCGGGAGAGTGCAGCGGGATCTGTCATCGAATCCCGCCCCAGTCTTTGCCCTTGTCACCCGATCCCAAGGACTCCAAACCATTGTGACTGGTCAGTGAGCATTCGTGTTCGGTACTTTGGTAGGACCCCATGCTGCTTGGCTTAGCAACTGGGCCTCTAAAATGCCGTACAGGGAAAGTTCGCTTGAGCCACCGACCTGCTGTGTGATGTATTCATGAGGCACATAAGGAAGGTAGTGATATGCCATAACCCTAGTAAGGTACTTCCATAGAAGGGCTGTGTAAAGTTTCCGAAAGGTCGGTCACAGGCGGCTTGCAGTAAGGTGTTAGATTCTCTCACCGTCGTCTTACTGTAGAATAGGTATGGATAGCCATCAACTTTGGCTTCTGGGTCATGGGCCACCGTTGTAAGCAACAGAGCACTGCCCTTCACGTCGCCTCCTGCGCATAAGGTAGGATAAGCTTGGGCATTGTCCGTTTTGACGTCGATGACGTGGGGCTCGGGCCATCGACCTGAATATCTGACGCAGGTGCCCGTAGCCCAAGGTATGCCACGTTAGATTCAGCTTGGAGGAGCCTAGATCTTGTGGTGATTTCTACTGGAAGAGTAGGCAGATTCTTTTGTGCTCAATATCTCCCACCTAGTATCCGTACTGCAGACTCGATCAACATACGGACATTCTAGTCTTCAGCGTGCAACGGACAGCCATGCAGCCCAGACACCTGCAAGTGATGAGCTCAACACTCGGCATCAGCACCACCAAGCTTCTGGGGGTACGCAAGCACGCTCCATGCTTTTTCCTCTATCTGACTCTTTCCAAGAGGGCCAAGATATGTAACACTCACCCACTCTAGGCAGGTGAAAACGAAGACGCCGCTGGACATATCCGTACGGAGTAGGTACACTCCTGCATACAGCACAAGGTTCCGTGCCCCCTCGCTGGATCACCATGTAAAACGTGCGTGAGGTGCCAGCGGCAAGTTCCTAGCGTGGCCCCTCTGGTGCTTCCAATCAAGACGACGCAGATCTTGCTGCATTACAAGTGAAACCGTGACAGACGGCAGCCATTACCTTGCGTGCTTACCTGTATTCGAGTAGCGCTGGTGTAGGAAACGTTTCCCCGGTCAAGCCGCGTCTCGGGGGCCGTGACTTTGGGCTCTAGTCGGTGCCATGCGGCAATGGTCTCCTTCATCAAATAAGTGAGGTGCTGTACCATAACATCTGGATAAAGTTTTGAAGGTGATCGGTAGGCCCATCAACAAAGCACTACTTTTAGAACGAGTGGCCGTGCTGACGATGGCTGCTATTTAGATTCTAGCACACTCAAATAGCTGTAAGTGACTACTCCATACCTATCTTCACCTGAGACCAAGCATTTTAACCAGGTACAAGGTACGGCTACCTACGGTGTATGCCACCGCGAGGCAGTTTATTCCCGAGAATTACTGCCTGTGCTGCCCGGGCAGTTCTCTGTTTCCCGTCAGGAAGTGGGTTATCAAGATGAACGG